TGTTCTGACTCGGCAAGAAGGAACGAGTCGTTTATGACAATGATGCATGCATTGAAGAAGCTCATGTTGCGAATAGCCCATCGATGACGAGTCAACATACGACTAGGTCGCGTTCTGAAAGGATTGCGAGCCTACGGAGAATGGCGCCATCGACTTGTGAGAGGAATTTAGAACGCATCTCGAAGAATCCACACGTTGTAGTGTAGACTTCTTCCTTGAGCTGAAAAGTGGCGTCGACAAAATACCAGATTATTAGAAGCTTTACAAATCAAGCTCGCGTACACTCTTTCTAAGCCGATTTCACTTTGGAAATTTCACTTCTGAAGATTGAGAATCAAGGAAATATGCATATCGGATAAGTGAGATTGAAGTACGTACAAAGCATATATGCTAGACATTATATGAAGCCGCTACAAGTTTAAGAGTGGTCTACAAAAGTAACAAGGTGCATTCTAACAACATGCTGTAACAGGCAAAACCTGGATCGCGCAGCCACAAGGGTAAAGGCCGCTTGACTAAGCTGGTCACTTTGCAAAAACTCGGCGAAATCGCCCTTTCGCCTCTAACTCGACAGCAGCTTATGATTGCAATTTTGGCAGCGATCTACAGAAGACTGCCAAAAGGTTGCTGGGAAAATGAAGAGCTCTGAGGTAAGAAGGGCAGTCAACTCGTTTCAGAGCAGTATCCACTTTGCGTTTCACTTTCAAAACGATATCCCCTATCTTCAGCTCCACTTGTAAGGCCCTTTTCGAATATATGTGCACATTTCCTTCACAAACCAAAAAAGTTATAGTGCTGGCCATAGCTATAAAGCCACCTTAGAAATCACTGTAACTTGTCCTGTCTTGGGCGAAATTGTGCGGAAAGTCTACTCTGCAAATAGGCGAGCGCTACTTCATTGACAAGAAAGGGTTCCACTTTCATACCTAGAAAAAAATTGAAAATCCGGAAAGCGTTACTACATCTCTGAAGCAGATATTTCATGTCTAGTCACTTCAGCATATGAAACTTTCTTTTTACACTTGAGAGCTGTCGCCTCTGAAAAGAAAATCTATAATGCATTTTTTGCTTCAAAATGCATGAAAAATCGTACTGTTTCAAAGAACTGCTGGTTCATAAATTTTTCATGCAATTTTTCAACAAAAATGAAGATATTAGGTATTACTGAGCTTCTGCAATGAATCTGCAATAACTGCGGTGAAAGACGCTTGTGTCAAAGTTGAGTAGTCGCTGATATTGTAAACGAGCCTTAATCTCATTTCTAGGTATACGAGCTTTGAACCACAGAAGCTGAGTTCTGATAGCAAAGATGTAAAGTGCTCGTAGGTCGTCTGTACGACAATAAGCTCGTGCGCAGTGCCAAAACACTGTCCCAAATTAGTTCCGGATCCTTGAGGGCTCTTCCTTCCAAACGGGTTTTACATCCTGCCTAATTGACCCGCTTTGGCCACTCGATCGAATGAAAATACGCTCAAAATTTGGAAATTATAGAGTACTCCTAACAGTTCTGTGAAATATAACTTAGAAGCAGCTGCTTGGCAGAGTAACAGCTTTGGAATATTCATCGTTCTCAGTCTCTCTAAATGAGCTAAGTCCAAGACTGTGCTTTGCAGCTTTAAAAGATATCAATAACCTGTTTTTCCAGACGTGAAAATAGCTATTTGGAAGGACGGCATATATCTGCCCTCTACAGCGCGATTGGCTCGTGAGTAGAGAACCTTTCACCGTACCAACTAAGCGGCAATTTGATTATTGACTCCAACAGCTAATCCGCCCAAAAGCACTTTTCACGTTTGGAAAAGCGGGTTATTGTATCTTTTGAAGATGCAAAGCACAGTCTTGGACCTAGCTCATCCAGGGAAATTGAGAGGAATGAACCTCTCACAGTTGTCATTCTGCCGAGCCGCTGCCTCTAATAAGGATTCTTGGAGTGAAATTTGGAGTTATGTTAGATCTATTGGGCACAGCTGGGTTGCAAGTAAAGGGTCTTAACTCCAGTGCTGCAATTGCGCCTTATACCTCCGTTACACTCTGGTATAAATACCATTTTGAACTGTTGAATAACAGGGGCTGTGGATGATCAGGTTTATTTGGTGCGCGTATCTGAGCGGAATTTGATGAGAATGAATTATATTACAGCAGCACAGTGAGTATGTTGCATAAACTGAATGACATACGAGCAAGAAACAGTGAGGCCGTTGTAAAGCGCGATATAATCGCGGATTAACGTACATGTTATGGAAAGAACAATTAATCAACATGGATTTAGAGACTCTTACTCGTAAACATTCGTGAGAGATCAAATTGTATAGGTGTTGGAACCTGACGGCGAAACATATGCGAGATAATGTGACCCGCGCATTTATGCGAGGAATTATCTATATGAGAGTAGTGGCAGTATTGGATCGCCAGAATATCAGCTGCAAGATATGCTACTGGTGGGTAACAAATACATGGAAAAACACAAATCTAAGCGCAAATAGTGCCCTCAGCTTACGGGTACTACAACGAGAGGAAATCTAGAATGCAACACGACTACCTAAACGCCGGTGAGGATCTGCGGGTAGAGGAAGTGCCTTAGGAGCTGCGTAGCAACGGAAGGCATTGTTTGATTTCCATCTACCGGCTTGCATCACTGTAGCTTGCTCGCAGCCCAAACTGAGAGAAAGAAAAGCCGCGCCACCTTTGAAAGAATGGGAAGTTAAGTTCAAATGTTCTAGTTTGCAAGCTCTGAAAAGGAGTTTGAGCCTTTGTTCAAGTGTCGCACATGTGAGAGGTAGCGCAGTTGATTCGGACTGGAATAGGAAAATTGCGCTTGTGCGTAGAAAGATTTTCGTGCAATAGGGCCCTCTCTATTTTGTCTAAAAGAATTGCGCAAATGACTCCTCTACCGTATTGATCGGTTTTCGAGTTTGCAATGTTGAGGTTGTACTTTCCGCCACACACGTGAATCACGTCGGTTACGCGAAGAAGTTGTGTTTTACTACCTTAGCAAGGCTTTGAACTGAAGCAGTGCTAATGTAGCCGTTTTAATTACCTTAGCATCTGTCGACAAAAGGCCTTCCAGAACCAAAGTTCGCATAGATTTCTGATCTATTTTGGGTCGATGCTTCACCTCCGGGGCTGTTCTGCGCTCCGCTTCTAAGATGGAACGTTGCATTTCTAAGTCTGCTCCCGCTAAGGATCCGCAAAAATAGTTGAGTGACGCGACGAGGGTCGGCATAGACTTGCCTTCAAAAGCGCATTTTGCCAAGTAGAAATTCCCAGCTTTTGGAAGGGGCAGTGGCGAAATTCCTGTACTTTTCTTCCAAGCGATGAATCTTTGCAGTTCAGCTTTGTATGATTTGATCGTAGTTGTGGCTCTATCCGTCTGCAATGCGTTGGAGATCACTGAGCCGATAGTCTTCAAGCCTTGTCGGTTTGCCACGGCTGTCAGGGCTGCTCCCTCGGAGAAACGTGGTGATTAAATAGATATCAGTGTAACCCCTTACTGGGGAGGGAAGGAGGGCCGCTCCGTAAGTGTTCAAATGCCTGGATAACCCTCTAACCCTTCTTAGGCTCGGGGCCGCTTCTCTCCGCCTCTTTGGCCCCGAGCCAATCGACTGGGAGTCGATTTCGCAACATCAACAGTTCAAAACAACACTTATACCTCCGTTACGCTCTGGTATAAATACCGTTTTGAACTGTTGACCATGATAGGAGCTGTGGAATAACAAAGCCTGCAGAATAAAATGGTAAAGACCTTTGCGGACAGGGAAAATCGCAAAAATCTATGAGCAAAAACATGAATGGAGACTTGGCGTACTGTGAACCAAAAGCCCCTGGTAAGCCGAGGTCCGCAAACAATTTTGTGCCTACTGGGAAAAGTACCCCATCGCGAAAAAAGCTGGCCTAATGTCTTCCATCAGGTTTGAGTATAGTAGAAGAAGGACAGTGAAAACCAAAGTGGGCATCATAAGATACCTCTGATTTGTGAAAATGCGCCCACTTAAAGGCACCGTCCACCCTAAGTTGAGGGTGTTGGCCTTTTGGGAGCATATAACAGTAAGGCCTCCTATCAATCCAATGCCCGAGTCGCGACGCAAAATGTCGCTCCGAAAGCGAGAAAATCGCTTCAGAATAGCGGAGATGCACGAGGACCCCCATCCATGCCCGCCCTCCCCCATCCATGCCCGCCCATTTGTGCACGCCCGTCCAATCACAGTTCCGAAAGGCCGGCCTGTGGGCTCTCCAAAACGGGGATTGTCAGGGTTTTCGCGCATTCTCGACTTCATATTCGGAATCAGGGACATGAGAAGGCCCTGAAACAACAAAAACGTGGAAGTCGAAAATCTGGGTGGACGGTGCCTTTAAGCGTTTTGGCGACGAGAGTAACAAGTGGAACCAACCATAGGAGACATTCCATTCAAGCTGATGACTGATCGAATGCATCGACTCCAGCTGTGTTCGGACAAGTAAAACTGGAAAAAAATCTTTTACATTTAGTGTTCCTATCATTAGCAAACATATCAGTAGCTGGCTCGCCCCATCTACGAGAAAAGTGTCGAAAATAGAATCGCTTATTCTCCGATCGTCATAATTTATTTGTCCGCTTGCGCTGTCGGCCTCCACAATGAATTCACGGGGGACCCATTTTACTAGTATGACTATCTTTTTCTCGCGCTGCACTTCCCAAACTCTCTCTGCAAGTTGGTGTAGCAACAATAGGCTACCTTTCTTGGAAATAATAGCCGCAGCTTGACTATCGGTGTAAATGAGTATCCTTGACTGAACTTGACTATGAAAGGTATCTAAGGCATACCCCATTGCAAAAAGTTCTCTTGCCGTACTAGACTGCGCTAGCAGGTGCATAGGAAGTTCCCTATAAGACTTGCCTAACTGCAATTCGTGCGCATCTGCCAGTATAGCTCCCACCGAATGAGCAGACGCGTCTACCTGTAGGATTTTGTCAAAGTCAAGAGCTACCCGAGAAGGCGTGACAGATCAAGACGGGGGCGCTCTTAGTCTAAACAACCAGTAACGAATTTCTCGACATTCGTGCGTGGATTTCGGCCACTTGCGGCCAAATCCCTAGTTCTCGGGACTTCACTTCTCTTCAACGAAGAAATTTCCTGCCTTAGTGAGATCGGCCCTAACGACGTCGACTGCATGAAAGCAGGATGAGCTGGAAGGTTCGAATACTAATCCATAATCGAGAAATATAGCGGTACCCAAACCGAGGAATCTCCACTTTTTGACAAAGGGACGAAGAAGCTTGGCGCAAATATGTGGCGCGGACGAGAGGCCAAAGGAGCACAAGAATTGATAAACCTCTCCTTGCCACTTGAACCCAAGATATTGTAGGTGATCGTCGCAAACTTTGACGTGTGGTACCCCGACTCGAGATCGAAGGTTGCCATGTAACCCCGAAAAGGAAGCACTTGTAGAATTTTTCCCAAATCCTCAAACTTGCACTTGAGCATCGTTATGAATTTACTGATGTGGGATAGGTCCAGCACCAATCGCAACGTCTTACCTGTCGCGACAGATAGAGGGTGAATGTGCAGAAAGGGGCGCTGGTAATTGGAACACGATGAATAGCTCTCTTTGAAAGTAGGTCTGAAATTTCTGAACTCACGAAACTTGCCTGCTCGCGAGCACTTTTTCTATTTTGACTATAGCTAGGCTTTGTAGGAGCACTATGAATGGGTATAGAGTACCCTGATATAATCGTGGTCGTGACCAACTGATTAGGCTCGAGAGCCATTTAAATAGAAACTCTATCGTGAATAGAGCCAGCAAAAAACTCACTATTTTCTTTTCGGGCAGTCTCGCCACCAGTGACCTTCTTGTCCACAGGTCCTACACTTTCTCTTTCTTCTGTCCAGTTCTCGGTGGAACCTGTAATCCGAGCGATGCGGCGGGGAGTACTCCTGTCTGCGCATGCGACTTCTTTCGAAATACGCTTGCTATCCATAGTGGGTCTTGAAGCGACTGTTGTAACTTGGGAAAGACGAGGGCCTTTGGCTTCCTACTGGAAAGAGCGGGAAGCAGGTGACCAAGCTGCTTCCCGCTTTCGAAAGGGAGGAGGTAGAGCCGCTTTTCTCTTCCTTAAAGTAGACTCCTCTTTGGGTTTCACGGATTCGAGGAACTCACTCAACCTGGAGTCCGTACCTCTGAGATACTCTGCTTTGTTTTTTATTATCTAAAAACTGGAAAACGCCAGGGTGATCGTCAGCATTTTTCCATGTTTCATTTCTTACAGTTAGATTCTGGATGACTGAAGAGATCGCAGCGCCTACCTCTTGGCAATCTTGCAAAGGAACAAGTTTTCTGATAATCGACAAGTTAAAATCGTGTTAACGTGCGTAGCTTACACGTTCGAAGGTAGGTGCAGAAGAGGTTGAAGGAAACTGGTTTCCCGACCTGATAGCGTCCAGAATGCTCCGTAGATCGCGTCGATCCAATCGAATAGATTCGGGTTGTGCCGGTGCCATTTCCTCCGCAAACACGTCTTCCTTGTGTAAATCGTACGTGTCCTGTGGCGATTGACGTCCGTCGTCGCCCATCGCAGAAGTCGAATGAATACAGATGTGAAGAGCAGACGACCGCTTCGTAAGTGTCCAAATGCCTGGATGACCCTCCAACCCTTCTTAGGTTCGGGGCCGCTTCGCTCCGCCTCTTTGGCCCCGAGCCAATCGTCGGGATAGTCGATTTTGCAAGATCAGTTCAAAACAACACTTAGCGAAGACTGTCAACAGTTGCATGAAAATGTAAACAAAGTGCCAACGTGACAACTTTTCAACACGTGACAAGTTTTCGCACGTCAGAGAACGAGTTTTGTGGCTAAAATGCCTGCTTAAACCAGTGATAAGGTTGCGGCTCGTCCATCAGTACCAACAACTACGCAAAGCTGACTCAAGCGCCCTCCAACACAATTATTGCAAAGGCTCACCTTTATCCGAATTAGAAATGCTTATACTTCGGCAAATCAACAGTTTTTCTTTTGAAATAATGCGAGTTTTTGTGCATTTTGATGCAAAAAATGCAATATAAATTTCTTATCAAAAGGCGATAACTCCAAGATGTAACCAATGCATCAAATTCCGATGCTGTAGCTTTATGGAAAGGTTCGAAGAACGCATTGGGCTGTTTTAAAAGGTTCACTTGTGTTAGAGTTCAAGCTTGATTCACCAGAATACTTTTTGTAAATGATATATGCAAATGCAATACAGCGTGTTACAATCTACAAATTTTTGGCAACCTCACGCATACCAAAAGATTATTGCCGCAACGGAGAGAAAGATATATAGGCGCAAAACATTAAACGTTCTCTAAAAAGATTTCTACGTTGAGAAATTATAACTTGACAAAATTGCACAAGCGTTGCTCATTGTATAATTGGTAGCCTGCTGATAGTTCTGCCAATTTTGATTTTCATAAAAAGTTTCAAAAGTAGGGAGTAAGCTTTTTAGTCGAAAACATTTCTAAGGCTTCAAAGATATCGTTTTATCTCCCTGCAAAAAGGTTCGCGTAGGGGGATAGAACACGAGACTGACATTACTTTACTTACTTACTTAGATGCTTGGATGGCCCGTCTGCACGTGGCGTGCGGGCTTCAGCACAAAAATTTCCATCTATCCCCTTCTTGACTGACATCGTTGGTTTTCTTCAGAGGCCCGGCATCACCCAGCTTACGTGAGGAAACTAGCCGACTGCTACAAGTACCGTGCAACAACGTAGTTATTCCATCGCCCCCTGACCATTGTAGTTGGGAAGGGGGTTCGACAAGACGACACAGATTTGCCGAAGCTGTTCACCGCGGCCTTGCAGTGGGTGATGAAATCACTGAACTGGGACGAGAGAGGCCTACGAGTTAATGAGGGATTCCTGTCGGATCTTCGTTTTGCGGACGACATCGTTCTCTTCTCGAGCAGTATCACTGAAGCAGAGACGATGATGAAGGAACTAAACAAAGCAGGGAAGAAGATTGGATTGCGAACAAATCGGAAGAAGACTCAATTCATAAGAAACGCCCTTTGCGAAGATGCAGAAAAGGAAGTGGAAGGCACCCTTATTACGGAGACGTCTTTTAACGTGTAACTCGGATGTTCGATGGGCATGGGGAGGGAAGAACCTAAAGGATAAGAAGAGCAGTTTGTCAAACGCTTTCAAGTAGTCGACGAAGGTTAGAACGAGAGGCAGTCGATACTCCGGCAGACTTCTATGACCCTCGAAACCGTCTGGATGTGGTCCATGCAACTGAATCCCTTGCGGAATCTAGCCTGTTCTTGGGGGTGGGCTTCATCCAGTGACCTTGATATGCGAGGGAGGATAAGCTTCGTAAAAAGTTAAACTCATAGCTCCTTTCAAATAGTCGTTCGGCAAATGATAAACACATCAGCGTTCCAAGGCGAATCCGATGATAAATGGCTCGGAATGGCTGGGTCTATACACGATCATTTCCTTTTGAGAATGGCAAGCAAATAAAATGCGGACTCTAAACAAAAATTATCATCGGCTCCACGTGTGAAGGCGGAAACGTGGCAGCTCCAATTATGGCGAAAATTTCTGAAGAATTCTAATTTACAGAGTAACTTCAAAAATAGGTTTAAATTATCAAGGTTCCAGGTCATCATTTGGATCAATAACGACTCGATAATTCCAAAAGAATTTGACGGAAAGAGGTGTTCAAGTATCCCATTAAACTATGTGTAGGCCGAATTTAACTGCACTCATTTGCAGATGAGAAGTGCCTGTTTCAGGAACAGCGGTCCCAACCACTTAGAGGTGGAAGCCCTTCTTATGTCATACGTAAGTAAGCATTGAATGGGGTATATAATGTTATAATTGGGCAACCAATCATGAATCAGTTTCCTTCCACAGCACTATTAGCACTCTCAAAATGAAACACGAACTTAGTTAGCTCGTTTCAAATAAACCTATAGTAGATTTGCAGCATTGAATTTTGCGGTATTTTGGAAGCCTGTTTTTGGTAACCCAGCCGATGTTGTGAATATAGGGTGCAAGCCGAATCCGCAATGTTCATGGATTGGGCATGTGTTGTTGGCGGCCGAAACTGATGATTGTATAGTTGACTGCACGGAAACGCCCGGGATGAACGCCCACGAGCGTGTCTTTTGCGGGCTAAATTTTGCATTCGCGCGCATGAGTCGTCATAGCGCCCGTCAGCCGCCTTGCAGGCACGCTCGCGTTCAGCCTACAGCGACCCGGGCGATTTTGTGCAGTCGACTTTATATTAAAATGTCTACATTTGCGCCTATCACTTTCATGGGCAACAAATCTTGTAACACACTATTTCTGAAGAAACTTCATTTCTTATGTAAAAATGAAAAAACTCCCTCATTTGTCACTTTGCTAACTTTTTGAGTCTATTTCAAGTTATAATAATTAGTGCCAAATATCATGGCAAGCAAATGGTTAAAAGTCGAAGTGACTACTTCAGCATGCTGCAGCCTAATGAAGCACAGAACGCTTCCGAATCTACTTTTTATCTGACAAATGCTTCTGTAGACGAATGTAACCCATTACATTGCAAAGAAATCGCGTACGCAAAGTGCAAATTCACATATTAGTCCGTGTTCGGTTTAGTATCAGGCCAAGACATGCAGCTAGTTTGCTTTGTATAATCCTCACTCAAAGTTATGCAGAAAGAAATTCATGTGATTGAATTCGCAATCCGTATATAGTCATCAATAAGTGACAATCAACAGAATAGCAAATTATGAATTGTGCAGATAGAGGCAGCATAGGACTTTTTTCGACAATGAAAGTGAATTAGAATAGAGACTGCAAGTTGGGTTTTGACACGAGTTGGTAAACTTTGCTTGAAAGCTCTAAAGCTGATAAGCAGATCAAGCATATGCGACCGTCGCAATGGGGTCGCAAAGTTGGGAGAATGTGAAGAGAGTAGAGAGAAGAGGTGGGGGGGGGGGGGGGGAGCTCGTACAGGGGAAAGACTGGATGGAAGAGGTGAGCTTAGTTGTCCACGTATATATCTGTGCTTGCAAGTTTATGAGTCTGAGTGGTCGACTGCAGTGATTCAGCATGTTTCACAAAATTCCCTTCGCATGTCATACTCTAGAGCAAAGTCCAGCGTGATTCATAGCTTCTGTGTCGGTCCTCCCAAAATAGTTAATTCATTCAAGGCTTTATGCTTAACGCACCTTCACTGTAGTCCTCCTCAGCTTGTTTGTTGATATGTCCATTGAGCATGCTCGTGCACAACTTTCTCCCAGCTTTTCAATTTTGCGTTTTTACCGCATTGGGTCAACTACTCATACTTCTGCATACTCATACATCTAAGCATCGGATATTCTTCGATAAAGCAAGACAATTTCTACGAAATAACTTTAAAGGTTTTTTCCGGCTCTGATCCACCTTAAGTTCAACAAAAAAAAATCTAAAAAGCTGTGAATGCTCAAAAAAGTGAAAAAAATTCGTATCTTCGTTCAATAAAATGTGGATTTCTCACTCCTCTTGTTTATTCAATCTACATCAGATATTCGCGTAGAGTTGCTGTATCTATTCCTGAAAATTGAAACCCTGAAACTTTCAAAGATATGATTTTTTCCGTGTTTTGGAGCATTTAGAACAGATTTTTTTTCGTCTCAAAGGCAGTGTCCCGGCAGATTTTGCACCTTCACCTTTTCGCATGCTTTAGGCCTTTTTGCCACGTAGAATCCGAATTTGAGCTCTGAACGGGCTGAAAAAACCGATTTTGGGGCGTTTTCCTAATTCCAGAAAAGCAGCTTGGACGAGATTTTTGATGGAAAGTTGGGGGAGGTCCTCAGACGAAGATCCTGCCGCCTGTAATTCTTGCTTTGGATAGCATGCATCATGGGGAAGAGCGCTCGTGAGGTCCCGCGCCGAACAGGCGGGGAAGGCCGTCCAAGCGCGCGCCAGTTGGGGTTGCGCGCGCCGGTTCAAGGGCCATTTTCTCGGCCCAGGGGGAACATCACCCAGCCGGAGTGCGCCTGAAGGTCGAGAGGGTGACCAGGAACCCCACCACACGTATATCTCCCAGGACCCGAATCTGCCGGGACACTGCCTTCAAGGTGAATCGGAGCTAGTGCAAAAGCGTAGAAGCGTTCTTGTAGAGGTCGCTTTGCTTTATCGAATTGTATCCTGTGAATCATGTTCAGAGATTGTATGACATAATGAGGTAGAAATTCAAAATGAAATTATGGGACGACCTCATTATAGGTAGGTTGGAAAGTTCTGTCAGTTTTCGAAAGACGAGCAAATCCCATACAGCAAAGAGAAACAAACAAATTAAACTGTATCAGATGCAGAATCTCTTCGGCGCTGTATTGTTCCTAGTGCAGTTCGTGCGAAGGTTACTAACAAGAGAGGTACTATCAATGGTCGTGGCCTTTTGATATGTGATGCATATCTTCTGAAGCAGCTTCGAACGCTGATTTCAAATCTGCTTTCCATTTCTGCGGAGCGCCGTCTTGAAGAAAGTTCTGGAAGCCTGAAAATTCTATTTTGTAGGCGCTCTTTGAGTTCAAGAGCGGTGCTATGTGCGTCGGCGGTGCAGTGGTGT